TAGTACTCCTGAGGGCTGGAAGAGAAGAGGTATCTGGATGGAACTCAGGGTTGTGAGATTTGAATACATTTTCTAGGAAATCCTGACTTAGGTTGTGCAGTTTGTTTGTTTACTTGTTTGGTTTTGTTTTGTTTGCTTTTGACTTTGTTTGTTTGTGGGTTTTTTCTTCCTTTCAATTACAGAAATCTGATAATTTATATACAACAATTTTTATATAAACAGAACTTAGAAATCAAACTGAACTAAAAATCACAACTGAACAAGTATTACATACCAGTTATCAGAAGGCAGAAGAGGTAAGCTATGCATTCCATGACATTTCAACAAATCTTGTGTTCATTTTGGTTAAACTGTATGAGCACTATTAAGTTAATGCAACAGCCCTCAAAAACAACTAATAAAGTGTGTTGGTAAGACTGGAACAGTTTTTCTGTCTCAGTCTCAGAAATCAGAGTTAGCAGAATCAACTTAAATATACTCTCCATTAGGAATGTGAGGAATAGTCTGCTTCCTGCTTCACACATGGGAATAGAAAGAGTCATTATTAAAGTGTTAGTGAAAACTGAGCTAAAATATGTGAACTGTTGAGTTCTTCAGCAGTTTCTTATTCTCTGTGAGCAATATGTTGCCTAAATGTTAGAAACTGTTAGTCTGTGGTTACATTTCAGCTATTGTCAGAGGCATTGTCAGCTCTTCAGGCAAAAATTTAAGATTTCCAAGTTGATGAAAATTATGTTAGGAAAGTAACATAGGAAGAAAATATGAGTTCTCAGAAGTTAGTTCATAAATTAAATTTATTATCAAATATAAAGTATCTGGAAGCCATGAAAAATTACAGTATTATAGCCAAACCAACCCCAAACAAGCATGATAATAAAAAGTATCATGCACACATGAAATGAACCTGAGTAGTAAGCAAAAAGAAAAGATATCTATTAAATCTTTCCTATTATGTGAAACAAAAATGTGTTAGTTCTCAGGGTAATTTTCCTTTTTTTTCTCAGTTGCAGTAATCTTATCACTCTAGTAACTGTTTTGAATTGGGTTATCCAAAATTTGCATGTCATTCTGGTTAAGCTTGATATTTGAATTGAAACTAGGAGTCTAAAAGTGGCCAGATTTTCAAATGTGTTTTACAGCTGCATTTTCTGTATATTTATATGCCATTTGTAGATGGTGTTTAATGATAACCAGACTATTTAACTACCTGAGTAACAGGTTTAAGAGCTAAACTTCAGTTGTCTGTGACTGTTTGAATTATTTTGTTATTATCTTGGTCAGACATTCATTCAAACAGAGAGATATGACCACACATCTGTACTTCAAAGTCAAGGTAAATCGATTTGTGGTCTTCCTATATTTCTTCCTATCCCACTGGAGGACCAGCAGATGGTCAAGTCACCCTCTGCTGAAATGAGTGGCTGGAGTTTTCTGTCATCCTCTTAACAAGCTACATTTCACGGATCTCCTAGGAGTTTTTGTTGTTTGTTTGTTTGTTTTCCTGTGTTTTGTTTAGTTTTAAACAACACCTTCCCCTTTCCAAATGCAAATATATCAATACACTACCATGAACAAATAGTGTTCACTTACAGTGTATACTTTGGGCATTTAAATGTTTTGGTTTTTTTCCCAATCAAGCACGCATTCCAAACCTTTCTGTTAGGAGAAAAAAAAAAAAAAAGTCAGCTTTTATTTGATGGAGAGAGAGTATGCAGAGATATTGAAAAGGCTTTCTCAACATTTTCTAAATATTTTTTAATAACATAGTTTTCTTTAATACAGAGTTACCACAGTTATTAGAATAGGCTACACAAAATATTAGACTATATAAGCAAACAAGGAGTATGATATGGTTGAAATGGTGGTACAATGTTACAATGTAAAACAATCCAAATAATAAAAAAAATATGTTCATACATTGTTAATAAGACTGACCCTGAATGCTAAGTGGCACAGGAGCTATTTCTGGAGTGAAAACTATCAGAAATGATGGAAGGTTGCAGTGTCATATACAGACTCTTGCATTCATTTCCTTTGTTGGATTTGGTTTCACATAAAATTTTCAAGATGTTTTTGCAGAGGCATGCTACCAGTGAAGAGGCTTTGAAGGAAAACAATGGGTTACACAGTTGTACCATTGTGACAAGATAGAATAGTCCTCACAGTGCCCAAACCCAACATCAGACCTCTTTGGCCCTTTAATTTGGCAAGGCCCTTTAATTTGCATTCACTGCTGTAGCCGATTGGTTTGAGTTTCATTTTCCCTTTGTAATATCTCCTCCAATGTCCAGGTTCTGCTGACTCATTTGAGAGGCCTTACTGAACCATTGCACAGTCTTATGGGATAGGCATGGAGCAATACATCTGTAAGAGATAGGCAAGATATCGGAAATGCTGAAATAAATGCTTTGCCAAATTTATGCACCCACATTTTTATTTAAAATTTTAATATTTGAAATGAAAGTGCACTAGCACTCTATTGGTAATACTCTAAAATCTTGGAAATTCTGAATCAAAATATGAGCTTTTTAGATCATCTATGTAATCTAGATTGATGCCCAAAAATGGGCTTGATCCAAGTGAAAGAGCCATATAATTATAATTTTTATGCAGCTATGATCACAGGATGCATTCACAATCTGCCATGGTGCCTAGGCCAATAGTTACAAGGGCAGGACAAGAATTCAGGAGCCTTAGTTGTAGGCAAGTGCTGTTTTTTGGTCTCTGGAGAATTTTAGATAACCAGCTCTTCCCCTGTTTATAACAAACACATAGGTGCTTGTTTTCAGCAAAGTTCTTTTTCTAAGTATAGAAAGGAAGAAATGTTTGTGCTTATTTTTGCTCTGATATTGTCATATTTTTGACCCATTTTTTCAAAAACACTCAGTATCCAAATCAGTGACTTATTGTGAAAATCTGGTCTCTTACAGTAAAGCCTAATGGGAAGCTTGAGGCAATACAAAAACAGTGTGGGTGGGAACTTTGATTTTGGTCCAGACATAGTGTAGAGATGTAACAGCTTTCTTCTCCAGAGTAACAGAAAATTCCTGGGGAAGTTGTGATCTCTGTGGGAAATACATATTGTTTCTGTTTGATGTTCGGCATTTTTTCAGACAAATATTCCAAGGGAAAACCTGATTTTTGTGACAAAGCTTTTGCAACTTTTCAGGTGACCAGTACTTCATCTGTACTTTGTGTTTGCAGTATAATACCCATGTGGATAAAGTGTAACCTGAATGAGTGTTTGTGTTCTAAAAAAGTAGTAATCCTTGCAATTTTTTCCAGTTATTTAAAATAAAATTATTTCAATTCACACATCTACTCTCTTGACTCATATGGTGCTACTGAAACTGTAGCTATCAAAATACATGCAATGTAAATGCATTTCTTAACAAGACAAATGTGTAATGGTGGCACTTTGATGTTTACTTCTATCTATGGTATGTCCTAAATATTGGTGTCATCTTCTCAATTTTGATAGAAGGTAGATGGTATTTGGATAAGACATGACATTTCGTGTAACATTACAAGGATCTTTTTCCACTGTCTATCAAACAAGGATTTGGAATATATTATTTTAAAATGCCCTAGATTGAAAAATTGTTCTGTACATAAAGTTAATGTCTGAGGTATGTTTTCCTGTGCAGGTTTTGCATTTTGTGACTCAAAACATAAACCACCATTTTTAAACAAGGGCAAACTCCCACTGACAGAAAATGGTGTTGAAAGACACCATAACATGTTCTTCATATTTGCACTCATTTACATTGTGGGTATTTAATATCTGCTTTTAGTTTAGATGTGTAAAAGTTAGGATACAAACATTCCATCTTTCATATGTGAATTTTCATTTACAAATGCAAAATGGGATGTGCCAATATGCCTGTATGCCTTCAGCAATCTGATGTTTTCAGAACTAAACTGATTTCTATGTCTATCTGTACGATTATGTAATATTTTCTACTTAAAATTCCATGAAACACCAACTGGATTTTCTTAATCTTCTAAATGGAGCTCCTGTATAGTGATAGTCAAAGTGTAACACATTTGTCTTGAATTGACTGAATTGTGTAGTAAGTAAAGAATATGCCTGTATTTGTTGTTGGGACGTGCTTTGAAACCAATACAGCACAGAAGTGTTAAACCCAGTATTTTTCTACTAACTATTAAGCAGCTGACGGCTGCTGTTCATACCAATTCTGTCCCAATAAATTTGCTCATGACAAACCTGAAAATGTCTGGTTTTTAAGAGTGTATGTATGATTTGCTGTGAGCAACTTTTGAGATACAAACATTTTTTGTCTAAGAACGGAGGAATAGGTTGAAATACAAATGGTTATATTAGTGTGATATAAGCTTAGCTAATATGAACATAGTAGCCATAGTGTTTTCGGTATTTTAGGATAACTGCAAATGATTCAAACCCATGAACTGCTTTTTTGTTATTTTGCTTAGTAAGTTGGTATGCACAAATTGAGTAATAGTATAAAAACAGAAGTCCAAAAAGATGTAAAATTACTTATATTGTTTCTTCGCTCCGATCTTGGTACTTTTAAGAAAGTAAAAAATGTGAAGGTGAATCTTTTCTGAATAGGTCATTGAATTTACATCTTCCACAACTTTGTCACTACTTAGACATCAAGTCCACAGACAAGCAGTGGTCTCATAACATTTACCTAGCTACACAAGTTGTGTTTTTTTTGTTTTTGTTTTTTTTTAAATTTGTGAGACTTGCTTCAATTGAAAGAAGTTATACACTTTAAGAAAATACTTACATTGGTGACTTCAGATCCAAAATAAAACCTTTTCAGCAGCTTGTATAACACTGGGGTGCAGCCAAGAGTCATCACAGTTCTGTCCAAATTAATGGACCTTGCTGAGAACTCTCAGCTTTCTTAGAAGTTCAGGCTGATACTTTGTCTTTAATCTACCTGATGAGAAGCAAATGTTTTGACTTTCTGATTTCTGTCACATACATCATATGCAATTTTTACCTACAGATTTTCCACATGACGTACGATCTGGCCAGTGCTGTGGTGAGAATCTTTAATCTGATTGGAATGATGTTGCTGCTGTGCCACTGGGATGGTTGTCTACAGTTTTTAGTACCGTTGCTCCAGGATTTCCCACCAGATTGCTGGGTGTCCCTAAACGGTATGGTTGTAAGTATTGTTCATTTTTCATTGTGCTTTCTAAACATTACTTTTAAAAACAGTTAGTTTTAGACATAGGTGTAAACATACATGCCTAGTAACGCACTGCCCTGCAATTTATTCAAAGTTATCTTTGGGTTTTGTTGGCTGGCTTGCTAACAAACTAAAGGTTATTTGGTAGCCCTTATCACCAATAAAATAATATTGACCAATTGTTATTACCTGAGCCCGAAAATACTTTCAGTTTTAGGGTAATTTCAATTTATAAACCCTTATTCCATTAAAAAAGCCACCAAAAAAAATTTGGACAAACTCAGTTCACCAATCTCATTAGCTTCTGCTGTTACTTCAGAATGCTCTGGAAGGTACACTGTGGTGTTTGTTTCATCTAATGTTGTCCTCTGTTTTGTAAATAACTTTGGGGTCATCTCATGATCCCTTTACCAAGTTGTTCCCAACTTAACAATCAACATGAGTTTTTTCTAAGTGAAATAAGAGAAACAGGTTTCCTTCTGTGATACTTTTGGTATGTGAACAGACTGTTCAAGGATGGAACATGGCTGTGCCTAAGTTGCAAGGAAGGATAGTTATGTTCTTCTTGCTTGCCATGTGGCTTAAAGATCAATGACTAAGAAGATTGAAGTAGTTTTTACCAAGTCAGATAATTTCAACACTGAAAATGTGTTGAAATTTGCCTACACCAAAAAGAAAAAGCTGCAAGCAACTTTTGTTGACCCTTTGAAAAGATGTATCTCTCCAGTTTTAATTATGTTAGAACCCATTAAAAAGTGCCTTTACTGTAGATGGGATTTTTGCTCAGTCCTGTGTATTTCTGTTCCTTTAGGAACATGATACTGCATAGTACTGTGGGAGCTCATTGACTAAGACTGTTGCAGAATCACAGAATCTTCATGGTCAGAAAAGACCTCTGAGATCACTTATTCCAACCATCCACCCAGGGGTGGGGGGAAAGGAAACAACAGAACCCACCTGAACAAACAACATTGAAAAAAAGCCCCACAAACACACAACTACAAAACCAACAGTACACAACCCACAAAAAAACCACCATGCCCACTAGAGCATGCCCTGAATTACTACATTTACACATTCCTTGAATACCTCCAGGGATGGTGACTCCACTTTCTGCCTGGGCAACCCATTCCAGTGCCTGACTACTCTTTCAATAAAGAAGTACTTCCTGATATCTAGCCTAAACTGTCCCTTGCACAATGTCAGGGCATTTCTTCTAGTCCTGCTGTTATCTTTGTCAATCATACAGACAAGTATTTGCAGTCATCAAGTAACATCTTTAACAATAAGCAGCATGTTTGCTGACACCTCATTGTGCAGCTTTTACTAAAAAAAAAACCCAAACCAGGAACATATCTTCAAAAGTAGGATTGCTACAATAAAATTAGTTCACCAGGATGCTGACTGGCACGTCTTTGCATTCTGTTTCATTCTGGGTTGTGCTGTGTAACATCTTCCATTCACATTTAGAAAGAGTACATTTTCTACCAGCTTGTTAAAGATCTGGATGAAAACCATGCAAGCAAGTGAAAGGAAGCCTCAGATTACACTTAATTGAAGTATTTAACTTTTAAAGAACACTGACTTAGTAAATTCTCTCTTTCACAAGGAGAGCTACATTTAATCTAAGAATGCTGTTCACACTATGCACATTCCCTGGGACACAGTTATTTCTGCTCATACTTACTTCCACATATTCTTGGGAATACCCTTTTTTTGAAAGTTTTTTCACTTTTTAAAAAAGTTTTTGTCTGGCAACTGAAACTGTTGCTGTTAATGGACATTGTGGGGAGATCTGAAAATTGAGTCCAGGAGAAAGAGTTGTGGATTACCAGTCTGGAATCCAGAGCATCTCTAAAACCACAGTTTCGGAAAACTATTAGACGTTTCTTCTGACCCCATCGTGTTGTTATGAGACATTTCCTGATTGCTTTCCAGGCTCTAAAAGTGAATTCTTTAGCACTGAATACAAACAGAGAAGCCATAATGGAATATCAGTCCTCTGAAATGGCAGAGGGAATAGAATTAAGAAGATGATGATGACGGTGATGATGATTGTGTCCTTCACTGGTGTATTCAGAGTCTAACCAACTGCTGGCTTTGGAGTTTGAAAGGGCTTCAGGTTCCTGATACTGTAAGAGCTTTGGGAAGCAGGGTATCTTACTCCCCTGGTACACTGTAGCATATAACAATTTAATGCATTCCAAATGTTTAAAGTTATGTTACTGAAATGACTACTCCTTATACTGGGATTTGGACTCAAATGCTGTTGGGAAAGAAAGTCTGATAAGAATCTTATTATTTCTTCTGCCCTGAAGTTCTGGTAGAGATTGCCATTGCAAAAAGCCAGTATTGTCAGAAAGAGATCTTTCCCT